CATTTTCAGCCAACCTTTTCTCATACATCCTTTTTGATGTTCTAATTTCCTGTTTCACCAACTTTCTTGCAGCTACCCTTTTCGTTCTATAAGGAATATGTTTACCTTGAATAATTAGAAATTTTCCACATCTGATCAGTATCTCCAAATAATTCAGCTGCCCAATTCACAACAGATAATTCTTGTTGCATCCCTTCAAAATTTGCTCTTTTAAAATTTGTAACCAAAATTTCAATATTCCTTATCTCCATATGCAGCAAAACATCTAATCTAATACAGCAACAATCAATTGCACCCAGATATGCCCCAATTTCCACCATCTCAATCATTTCTGGATTTGAAGCTAACAACAAGTCTAAAATAGCATTGTTTCTAGTAGATTCTTTGGCTAATTGGTGAAGAAAGGCATCCTGAAGAGTTCCCAAAAACCATTCTACCTCATGGTTTCACTCTAGAATTTCCCAATCTATATGCCTGAAATTAAAATCACCCATAATTATGACTTCATTAACAGATGAAATCTTAATCTCATTGTAAAGTTTCCCACTAATTCCCACTAAAAGCCTTTTCTCTTTATATCCACTAATAGAAACCCAAATGGATTCAATATCTTACAGCTGAGTTAATAGCCTAAGCAAACAAGCCAGCCCCTACCTTATTTAAATGTAAACCATCCATTCCAAATAGCTCCCTTCTCCCACTGAACTGATCCCACAAGTCTAACCAGCCAATCTGCTTATCCTTCCATACTAACCTGAGCTTAGCATTTAGCTCTAGTGACCTACTTGTAACTTCATCCCTACAGTTAATTCTAGGCAGTATCCCTGACAAAATTAGGTTATGGCCTTTTTTTTTAAAATGCCTTTATCAACTCTTTCTACTTATTAATTCGCTCCTCTGACCTACCTTTCCCTACATCATTAGCATCTACATGCACTACAAAAACTTCATTTCTGCTAGACCCCCTTATTAAATCTCCTGCTCTGTCAATTTATCCTCCACCTGTGCCCCTGGGTAGCATAATCTGATTCTTTTCTCTCTATTTACCCCACAGAATATTCTATCCACATGCCTTGTCA